CAAAAATGAAATAAAAGTAACGACTTTTTACTTTTTGTCTTTTTTAAAAAATGTAAGGAGAAGTAAAAAAGTAGACTGAAAAATAATTACTCAAGTAAAGTACAGATACCCAAAAATTCTACTTAAGTAACAACGTATTTGTACTTAGTTACTTTGGAACTCTGGTTTTCAGTCTAGATGGTAGTTCAGTCAGAGTCAGGTGTGTTGCAGCATGAAAACTAGTACAACACGTTAGTTGGTGAACCTGGAGAACCAGGATCAGACACGTCTGGTCTGAACTGAAGTAGCAACAATGTGTTCTACTGGGAAAAAAAATCACTTTTGATGGTAAACAGATAAACTTGTCCCAAAACGTAAGAAAATRGTGTTTAGTAGATTATTTCTTTGTTGTAACAATGTTGGAAAGCCRGTTAATTTCCTTTTTAAATGGTGCCACATTTGTGGGATGAGAAGTACAGTTGAGTATGGGAGTTGTGACAGTTTGCCCTCTCTGCTGTTGCTCCTGACACTTGTTTTGAGCTTCTGGTACCAAGACTTTAGGTGCTGCCGATCAGGTGCCGAAGCAAATTTCTAGTCTGTGAATCCTGTTRYTTGATAATGGCAATAAAACTGATRCMGATTCTGAATATAAAACTTTTTTGCTAAAMTCAAATATTCTACCAGACCCTAATTTCCTTACAGTTTGTGATAAGTACAGTTCAACGCCTGATTAAAATCCATCCCAACATCCAAAAGTCCTAAAATTCATCCATTTCCCCCCAACTCCCCCTCTGCCTCCTTTTCACTATCATGAATTATTTAAAAAAAAACTCTTCTTTTCAGGTTTGAGACAGAGGAGTGAGTTTAATTTCATCTCTGCTCCTGAACAGGTGGAGGTGAACCCTTCCTTAGACATGGCKGAGTCCGACTTCCAGAACAATGTGATGCGCTGTCGGTGCAAATACGACGGAGCGCGAGTTTTCCTCTTCGGCTGCCACGCAGGTAGTAAAACATGTCCAGTCACTGCGCCTGAATCTGCCTCCACTTGTGTTGATTTTTATGTACTTTTATCATCAGGCGACGGTTACAGTGCTGAAGTAGAGGACTTGTTCGACCATCAACGTCAGATTTCCAACAACTTCCTGTGAAACAGTGAGCACCCCAACTGAGGAACTGTACAAGTCTTCACCCCGCCTGAGAAGTCAGGGGAAGGAGGGTGAAACATGACATGCTAACAATAAAGAGAGAGATGATAGTGAGAGGGGGGCAGGAGGGGGAGTTG